GAGTGTTGATATGCTCCAGCTAACCAAACTAAAAGTCCCCATCCTCTGACAATGCAGGCCAACACATTGCGAATCAGAGTGCATGTGAAGGCTCTACAAGTTTCTTCTTTTCTAATGCGTCGTTGGAACCGGAGTGTTCTCACCTTGCTGACTTTACATATCAAATAAAGGCTCCAGCAAGCCAATCGGCGATGATTCCTTTGCCTGTATGTTACCACCAACACCAGATCACCTCGTTTCCTGAGAATGCAAGCCAGCACATTGGCGAATCAAGAAAACTCACCACTCACTCCTGGTTTTCTCATGCTTCTCAATACATGAATGTTGATATGATCCAGCTGACCAAAATAGAAGTCCCCATCCAACACAAGAGTGTATGTGTATGCTACAGGATTGTTCTTCTTTTCTAATGCGAAGTTGGAACTGTGGTGTTCTCACCTTCACGTTTACCACCAACACAAGAGCTGATTTTAATGTGTAAGCTTCAACCAGCCAATCTACAATGATTCATCCTCCTTCACGTTACCACCAACACCAAACCATCTCATTTCCTGGAAACAATAGAAGATCAGATGAGGGATGTGAAACCAATGACAAAAGTACAATTTCTCAAGCTTCTGTACCTTATGGGGCGCAGACGTGGGGTGCCATCTCCGCCACAAACAACCAGGCTCTCCACCTGTGCTCCAGATTAGAAGGATGGATTGGGAGAGGCGACCTTCAACCACAGCCGGAAACCTAAAGTGGAGAAGGAGGAGCGCAGGATGGAGAGGGAGAGGAGGCTCGTAGCCACTGTGGGGAACCAGACGTGATGGAGGATCCTGTCGAGGGCCGACGACCTCGGCCAGGCTACTTCAATCCAGTTGATCTTGGGGGTGTGGGACTCCAGAGGCGGCCGGCGAGCCCTCCATGGCCATGACGGCGGCCACGTCCATCGCGAGATCCAGGGCGGCTTGGCAGGGGATAGGAGCAGCGTGCTTCAGGACAGCGTCGACGGCGTGGTGGTCGCAGAAGATGGGGGCGGCGGCGGCGTGATGGTCGCAGAAGATGGGGGTGGAGGAACCCTAGCGCGTGCGAGGGGCTCGGGGACGGGAGCGATTGGTACGAGGGGAGAAAAGGGAGCTCGCTGGCCGAAGTTTTTTTTTTACGAGAGAAAACCAGTGTGAAGAGATGGTGGTACGGTAGGACAAAAAACCTACGAAAAAAACGTATGAAAAAAAAAACCAACGACGGTGGGAGGTGGGACAAAATTTAATCGGTGAGCGGAGACTACAAACTGAGACATTAGGAGTAGAGTCGTAGAGATAACTAAAGAAAATTCTAACTGACGAAATTGAACTTCAACATCTACAATTACAACTAACAATACTGATTTATCTTTAAATCTTTGATAGCAGCTGCTAACTTTACATTATGCGGTTGGATAAAAATTTATGTTCATATTGTTTGCATGGTAGAAATGAAATCATGTGTCTTTTACATGTATCACCTGATATGTTTTATCCGTTTCCGCTCTGATTTCCCTCCGTTTCCGCTCTAAATCCGTAGTACAATATAGTCCGCATTCGAATCCACATCCGGTCATTATTTTCTCCGCTTCGAATCCGGAAAAAAATAATATGGTAGAGGATATGGTAAAAGCATTATCCGATCCGATCCATTTTGATCCCTATATAGCTAGCTATCATGTAGTAGGACTACATGTCTAATATTTATCTATGTAAAATGAATCAAGTTGCATGTTGAGATCTGTTACAAGTTGACATATACGCAGAGATTGATGAGTGCGTATTTGCAGTTCGAGATCTGTGACGTGCATGTTACAAAGTTGACATGCTGATATAGAAGTGCTACTTATCTTGACCGGGCAAGATTCATCGCATGGGCTTTCCATTTGCCTTGGATCTCCATGGAGAAGAACACCTACTTAATTGATTACTCAAATGTCTCTCAAAACCTTTTTTTAAACCTTGCTTTTGAAGACAACTTTGCGCTGAAAATATATTTAAGGAAAAGTGGGGGAAATCATATAGTGGAAATATTCCTGTGTCGACATTGTGCTTATGTTTCCTTCAAAGGAATGGAGCAGAGTGAAAACGGAGGAAGAGTTCATTTGGTATAAGTTTCAAAGGAAAAATGCATCAATTTGACTCCATTTGGAGTGGTCTCTTTGTCTTTGGTACATAGGATTCTAAAAACACATGAATCGAAAAGGATTGGGACAACATGCCATAATGGATCCTTATTTGCCTAGAACACATGAATTTGTAATACTTAGAAGGTCGTGTTTGGGTGCACGAAAGGAATATAGGCAGGAAGTTTTCCATAGCATTTGATGCATGAAATAGTTGCCATCGAAACAATTTGAAAATCACAAGGTTGGACCCGATGGAAATTCTCTCCTCTCGGATTATTTTATGATGCCTATATAGGTTGACACACGAATTGATGAGATGGCAAGAAAACACCCATCCACATGCTAGCCTTTGTTCCTCTTTTCCTTTTTCTCTGTTGACGTATAAATGTATTGCCTAGTCTCTTCCATCATATCAGTCTTTTGGTTGCGCTGGTTAGAGCATGCACTTCTACACTCCCAACTCCAATCACTGGACCTCTTCCTTTTTTCCCATTCACTCCCGCAGGCTGCCGCTGGTCCGGTCGCCTACACACTTGCAGATTGCCGCTGCGAGCAGGTTACCGACTTCGTCCAGGGCCACACCAATCTCTATCCCTTCTCCTCTTCCCACTCACCGAATCCTTCCCCCCTTTCCTTGCAGTCGTGTGTGCAACAAGAACTAGCGGCGGCACATGCCATGAGCTTGGTCGCGCACGTGGGAGGAGCGAAGGAGCTCGACCATACGGAGGGTAGTTGTGGATGTGATCGATCAAACGCCTTGGAGGAGGGGTCTAGGGTTGTTGGTGTCGCACCCACACCTGCCCCGACGCATGCCATGGCTTCACCCCCTAGCCTTCCCGTTCCGATGTATGTCATGGGATCCACACGAGGCGGTGCGGGATCTGGTCGAAGAGGGCTTCCTTGGAAATCCATGTGACCGGTCAGCAACATTACTGTTTGGAATCCAGAGCACGCGGTTCCCCTCCTCGAATGACTACGCAAAGGCCAACAATGACTACATTAAACGGTACACCACCGCCAGCCGGGTGGTGTTGACGACGAGAGCAGCCGGCGACGATATTTTTTTTTCATATTCATGTGCTGCCATCATTTTTCTGTGAAAGACATTTGTGTGAAATATCATTTTCTGTAAAAATGGGACGTGCGTATGTTTTTTCAATTTTCGAAATTGCTACTAGTGGCGTGAGAGACAAAGAGCTCGTCATTAGTATATGTGGTTATCGGTGATAGGCATTTTTGTAGGCGCCACTAGCTACAGTATCATTTTTTGCAGTAGCGTGTTTTGGTTAAGTCAAGAATTGTTAGTATTTCAACTGTGAACTTATTCAAACTTAAATACTTATTGAGCAGTTCATCGCTAAGCATTAAGCATTCCATGGTAGTTCATACAAGGATAAACATGGATACACATTTGACCATGCAACACATGAGCTCAGTGGCAGCCTATGCTGGACCAAGTCAAGCACTTTGTGCCGGCCTGGCAACGGGGCCTCATCCAGAGACCTGGCCGGCTCGTGCTTGTACAATCTGTCATTGCGGCAAAGCCGGTTCACCACTTCATGATCACCGATGCCCCTGGTTGGGTGTTTGTTAAAATTGACAAATGGATGAGATCATTTTTTGGGGCTGGGAAAGACAAGGTCAACGGAGGACAATGCCTTGTGGCGTGGGACACGATCTGCAGACCCAAATGCTATGGTGGATTGGGAGTGAAGAACATGAGGCTACAGGCATTGGCACTCAGAGTGCGTTGGGAGTGGCTCAAGAGGACAGAACCACAAAGGCCGTGGCAAGGGCTGCAAATGGTAGACGATTCGGAGGCGAGGGCAGTTTTTGATAGTCTCGTCGGCATAAAAGTTGGATCGGGCACTAAGGTGCTATTTTGGAGAGATCAATGGTTGCATGGTTTCGCGGTTGCTGACATCGCACCTTTGATCCTGGGCTCAGTCACGCCAAGAAACATCAACAACAGGACGGTCCAGCAAGCCCTAGAATATGACAGATGGTTGCTGGATGTTCAGGAGAACCCATCGTTCACGGCGCAGATACAACTCATGCACCTTTGTCATGCGATTGCCACTATAGAGAGAAATCCCGAGGAACCGGATGTCTTCACTTGGCCATGCGCTGCATCGGGCAAGTACTCCGCAAGATTGGTGTATGACAGACTCTGCATGGGGCTTGAGATGTTCCAAACGGCCAAATGCATCTGGAGAAGCTGGGCAACGCTGAAATGCAAAAAAATTATGTGGCTGGGGTGCAATATAGAATCTGGACGTCAGACAGAAGAGCTAGGCATGGCTTGCAAGATCGGCCCTCGGCTTGCTTCGTCTGCCTTCAAGACGAGACAACGTGAACCACATCTTTGCCCACTGTGTCTATGCCAAGGAAGTTTGGCACCGAATATGGAAACACGTGAGAATCAATGTGCAAGCGCCCTCAACTACGGACACTTTAACTGATTGGTGGCTTAGGAAAAGAAGAAGCTTCCATGGGCGGGATAGAAGGGGTTTTGACACTTTGGTCACGGCCACCACTTGGTCTATTTGAAAACAGAGGAATGCTCGGGTGTTCAACCGCATTGATCAACAGGTGACTCCTAGTGCTTTGGCTGACAAGGTGCTCGTGGAGGTAGAAGAATGGAGACTTGCGGGTGTCGGTGCGGGAGGGTTACAATGCTTTGGAGAAGTTAGCTTTAGGTCCTTAGTTGTTGGTGTGTGTCTCGTGTTGGGCCTTGTGTTCGCACTATGCCAAACTTCTTGTACATACATTCTATTTTCTATAAAAATATAGTACGCCATCGGCATACTCTCGAAAAAACAAACCATGCAACACATGCATGGCCCCGGCCGACCGGAAGAAGCTACGGCCCATTGCACCCGCGCATGCACTCGGCCGTGCAGGTGATCCGGCACATCTTACTTTGGTTTCCCGGGCACTCTATACATTTGACAAATAAGGCACAAGTGGCCTCGCATTCGGCGGCGCCGCAGTCACAGCTGTCGCCGGTGCAGTTGGCCGTGCACTCGTCGACGGCGGTCGTGCAGTCGTGGCAGAGGCGAGGTTGAACCAGTAGGCAAGGGCATTTCTCGTTGGCGGAGGCCATGCACAACGATCTGCAGGTTGAGCTCCCGAACGATTGAGCACAGGCCCCGCACGATACCGACAGTGCCGGAGCTGGTGGTAATGATGTCGGTGCGGGTGGCGGTGCCCCCTGTGCCGTCGGCGACGGTGCCGGCCCCAGCGATGGACAGCGACCTGACGAAGGCAGGACAAGCATGGCGAGCATGGCGGCGACGGCGGCCGCCTGGAGAGCGAGGCCGGCTGAGCCTGACGAAGCCATTAGAGAAGAAGAAAGGTGCACACGAAAAACTGTGCGCTGCGTACGAACTACTGGTAGGGGAAGGCACAGTTACTTATAGTCACACCTCACACCCAGAGATCATAGTTGTAGCTAGCTCCTATCATGTAAAAACTATGCATCAAGTTGTGCACACGTTACGAGCAGTTGACATGCATGAAGAACGAATCAAGTTGCATCTTGAGATCTGCGCCGTGCATGTTACAAAGTTGACATGTGGATAGCTTGGTACTTATCTTGACCTGGCATGATTCTTTTTTCTTAGAAAAGGAGGAGGACCCCGCCTCTGCATCTGGACGATGCATGGAGCCACTTTATTAATTATTCACACAAGACCTTACAAAGTTATATAACAATCAGACTAAAGTTACCGTCTAGGCAACATGTGTCGCTACTCCTATTCCATTGATGAAGGGATACTAATAGTCTGGACCACCAGGCATGATTCCTGACACAGACTTTATTTCTGCTTGTCTTGAATCTCCATGGACAATTTTGCACGGAAAATACATGTAGAGCCTCAATAGGGGGCTGTTGTTCCCTTCAAGAGGATCTCGACACGAGCGAGCGTTCTCAACGAGGCTCATTCGAGGGAACTGCACCACTAGAGAGTGTTTCCTCAAAAAACCACTCCTTAGAAAAGTTTAAAAATTGTCGTGCTATAACTGAGAGATTCGCATGCTACTACACCAGAGAGATTTGTCACGCTAAGAAGAAGAAAAATTGACATGCTACAGTAAAAAATACTCCTTCTGTCTCATAATATAAGACGTTTTTACAAGCTAACATTGTGGGACAGAGGGAGTATCTGGCGTGTGTTTTTGAGATTTTGCCACGCTGCAGTAGAGAGAATTGTCATGCATTTCAGAGATTTTCCATGCGGCTATAAAAAAAGTGGGAATTGTCATGCATTTCAGATATTTCAGAGAGTTGTCATGACCACGCACCTAAGGCTATTGCTCCAAGGCTGTTTGCCTTGTGCGTCCGTCACTTTCAAAGAGGCTCTCTATGACAACATGTGGGTGCAGGACATGCACAGACTGAACTCTGAGTAGCTTCTGGATGATCTGATAATGCCCTCGGGGACATAATTCAGTCGGTCACCCTCTCTAGACAGACTGACATGACCACCTCGAAGCTCAACACTGGTGGAGTTTACTCCATGGTCTCGCCATATGATTCTCGATCTCTTTCACAGGATCCGGGAGCCTAATCTTGCTATTGTTGGGGAATGTAGTAATTTCAAAAAAATTTCTACGCACACGCAAGATCATGGTGATGGCATAGCAACGAGAGGGGAGAGTGTTGTCCACGTACCCTCGTAGACCGTAAGCGGAAGCGTTAGCACAACGCGGTTGATGTAGTCGTACGTCTTCACGATCCGACCGATCCAAGCACCGAACGTACGGCACCTCCGAGTTCAGCACACGTTCAGCTCGATGACGATCCCCGGGCTCCGATCCAGCAAAGCTTCGGGGATGAGTTCCGTCAGCACGACGGCGTGGTGACGATGATGATGTTCTACCGGCGCAGGGCTTCGCGTAAACTCCGCGACGATATGACCGAGGAGGAATATGGTGGAGGAGGGCACCGCACACGGCTAAGGAACGATCCATAGATCAACTTGTGTGTCATGGGGTGCCCCCTGCCCCCGTATATAAAGGACCAAGGGGGAGGGGGCGGCCGGCCAAGGGAGGGCGCGCCAGGGAGGAGTCCTACTCCCACCGGGAGTAGGACTCCCTCCTTTCCTAGTCCAACTAGGAGAGGGGAAGGAAGGGAAGGAGAAGGAGAAGGAAGGAGAGGGAGGAAAAAGAGGAAAGGGGGGCCGACCCCCTAGTCCAATTCGGTTTGGGCTAGGGGGGCCGCGCGCCCTGCCTCCTCTCTTTCACCACTTGGCCCATGAGGCACATTGCTTCTTCCTCGTATTCCCGTAACTCCCCTGTACCCCCGAAAATACCCGAATCACTCGGAACCTTTCCGAACTCCGAATATAGTCGTCCAATATATCGATCTTTACGTCTCGATCATTTCGAGACTCCTCGTCATGTCGCCAATCTCATCGGGACTCCGAACTCCTTCGGTACATCAAAACTCATAAACTCATAATATAACTGTCATCGAAACCTTAAGCGTGCGGACCCTACGGGTTCGAGAACTATGTAGACATGACCTAGAATTATTTTTGGTCAATAACCAATAGCGGAACCTGGATGCTCATATTGGCTCCTACATATTCTACGAAGATCTTTATCGGTCAAACCGCATAACAACATACGTTGTTCCCTTTGTCATCGGTATGTTACTTGCCCGAGATTCGATCGTCGGTATCCAATACCTAGTTCAATCTCGTTACCGGCAAGTCTCTTTACTCGTTACATAATGCATCATCCCGCAACTAACTCATTAGTCACATTGCTTGCAAGGCTTATAGTGATGTGCATTACCGAGAGGGCCCAGAGATACCTCTCCGACAATTGGAGTGACAAAACCTAATCTCGAAATACGCCAACCCAACATGTACCTTTGGAGACACCTGTAGTACTCCTTTATAATCACCCAGTTACGTTGTGACGTTTGGTAGCACCCAAAGTGTTCCTCCGGTAAACGGGAGTTGCATAATCTCATAGTTACAGGAACATGTATAAGTCATGAAGAAAGCAATAGCAACATACTAAACGATCAAGTGCTAAGCTAATGGAATGGGTCAAGTCAATCACATCATTCTTCTAATGACGTGATCCCATTAATCAAATGACAACACATGTCTATGGTTAGGAAACATAACCATCTTTGATTAATGAGCTAGTCAAGTAGAGGCATACTAGTGACACTATGTTTGTCTATGTATTCACACATGTATTATGTTTCCGGTTAATACAATTCTAGCATGAATAATAAACATTTATCATGAAATAAGGAAATAAATAATAACTTTATTATTGCCTCTAGGGCATATTTCCTTCAGCTATTGTGTGGACGGTTAAAGTTGGCAGAAGTTTAAATTCTACCTTTTTTTTAGAACAAGTTTAAATTCTACCTATGGCTAATGATCTAGAGCTGTAACTGGGCAGTTGATCGTCTCTTTGCATAGGCTGACCCAAAGCTGGGCAGACGGGCCGTGTTAGCTGGGCCGGCCGGATAGCACGCAGTCACGACATGACCCAGGCTAAATGGGCCAGGCCCAGCACGCGGAACGCCAGGGGCCGTGCCTGCGCTTGGAGGCTGGGCGGGCGGGCCAGCAGGGCATGGCCCATTTATTTTTTTTAATTTTTTTCTGAATTATATATATATATATATATATATATATATGACAAATTTTTCCTACTACCGGGTGTAGTTACTCCCACTTTTGTTTGATATGTTCTAGGTAGTATCTATCATATTGGAGTGTATGTACGCGTAGTATGTAGTATATAAGAATGTTTAGGTAGTATATATACTACTTTTTTGATAGTATGTATCATATTTTGTGCATACTCTATTTTACGTACAAATATGTTCGTATTTCACAAATACAATAAAACCATGAGCTCAGTTGCAATGTTTTCATATAACTCACTTTGGAGTATCTTAGATGTAGTATATGAACATACTAAAAATAATAAAGTAGAATATATACTACCACATGATAGTATATTAGAAATGGGTGTAGCTATACCCGATAGTAGGAACTATTAAACAAGCCAGCGTGTGAAATGGGCCGACGTGCCAGCCCTATTAACTAACTGGTCGTACCTAGGCCTTGAAGGGCAGCACGCAAGCCGGCACGGCACGGCCCGCTTACTAATCATGCCCCCGTGGGCCATGTCGTGTCTGGCACGATTACCATGGGTCGGGCTGGCCCGTTTAGCCAGCTTGGGCTGGCCTTACTCGGCAACCTACCCCTTTGTGACGGAGCTCCCAAGATGACAGTTCACCTACTCCCTCATTGCACTTTTCATTCGAGGGTATGCATGGGCCCTTCTCCATACCTCCGAACTCTCATGCTTGTGCAACTCGAGTAGATGCGTCCACGACCTCCATTAAGGCATGGTGGTGTAAGATATGAGCCACCACGCGATCGAACTCCAACAAGAAGCAAGCTACCACTGCATGTTTCGTTGCATGGAATCTCTCAAAAGAGAAAACCGAAGAACCATTGAGTGATTGAGAGCCACGCCTGAGGTTGTTGCCGGCCTAATCTGGGACGAGTCAAAAACTCTTTTGGAAGGGACACGGTTAACTGAACATGAGTATTTCAGTCCTTGCGTGATGTACAGTTGCCCGTCAAACAAATGATGCTCAAATTTGGTGGTGAAATGATATTTGAGGATCTCGAGACAAAAAAATAGATTATCTAATTTTAGTCAAACTTTTTTTGTCTAGATATCCTTGAATGTCATTTGGCCACTAAATCTTGCAAGTATACCTGGCCAAACCTCGGGCCGGGCCGGGCTTCGGGCCGGGCCTAGCCAAGCCCGATGCAATAAACCCATGCCCGGCTCGGCCCGGTCATCGGGCTTGTTTTCCGGGCCCGAGCCCGGCCCGAACACGTAAAAGCCCGTCGGGCTCCGGGGCGACCCGGCCCAACCTTCAAAAAAATGCAAAAACGATGGGCCCAGGCTTGGCCCGGCCCGGCCTTCGGGCTCAAAATCTAGGCCCTGGGGCGGCGTCGGGCTGGGCCGGCCGGGCCGGGCTTCCCATGGCCAGGACTACTTGCAAGTACCTAATACATCTGGACATGCTCGAAGCCAAAAATTTCAGATTTTTTTAATTTTGCTAATTGTTTTCAGTTTTACTGTTTTTCGTGGGTGCAATGCACCCAGCTTTACAAAAAAACTGTCCCGGAACCATTTGGTCAAGTTCGAAGCCACAAATTTTTCAGACTTTGTTTCTGCTATCTTTTTTATTCTACTGTTCTTCGCAGGTGCGGTGCACCCCGGTTTAGCCACAACTTTTCCATAATATTTTTTATTTCGACTGCAAATTTATTCAATTAAATA